TCGATTTTTTATAAAGGTGAATAGTCGAGCGAAGCATCGAGTATTTGATCCATAGTGACTCTCGCGTAACTTATTTTTAACATAACACTAGTGTAAATAACTATTATTAAATTAGATTATTAGAGTAAAAGGTATATGTATATGTAATAATATAATTGGTCAACTTAAAATACTTTATAGAACTTAATTGAATAAAAAACAAAACGATGACGTTTTTGAAAAATAAATCAAGGAGAATTGATTCTTTAGTAAGACTGATCTGTCGCTGGAAAACGAGCGTCAGCATCAAATTGCATGTTAAAAAGTTGTTTATAAAGAAAGTGTCACTGTAAGTTTAAACCTATTTTAAATAAACAGTCAAAATTTAAAAAAGAAATTTACACAACACAATTTTAAGTGTACGCGATTTTTTTGCAAGCAAGTGTACAATGGCTGACACGGAGTTTTGAACGACTATCATCCCGTTGACATCAAAATCTAAAATTCCTCTGTGGACAACTAACCTTACTTCCGGTTATCACTAATATTGTCATTTTGACAGAAAAATCAAAAATGCTTAATATTGGTTTTTTGCTATTTACAGATTTATACATGGACAACCAAATTATGTCGTTCAAAATTCCGTGTACCTACTAAAAAATTGAATTAATAATTATAATTAATGTCTTGTAACTATTTAATATTTTAATCATTAAAAAACTTATTTCAAAAATATTTTTATTTCCTTTAAAATATAAAAATATTATTTTCAGTTCTTATAAATTACTTTCATAACATTCTTCTATAGGTTTGGTGAAATTAGAGTTTCTTCGGAAAGGTTGTGCTTTGCTGATGGCTTTGGTAAAACCAACTGGGACAGATGATGAATTTTTTTCCACATTCCATCCATAAAAAGTTATTGCAGATGATTTATATAAAGGGTATTTGTCATGCAACTAAAACAAAATATACAATATTAATATTAATAATAATCTATCCGTGTAAAATCTGCACCAAGTAATAAATATAAAAATTGTTTCCTATTAAATTTTGTTGATATTGTTTTCAGACACGTAAAACATTTAAGTGGCTCAGCTGAAAAAGCCACCACATATTGGCAACAATTTTAATGTATATTTCCTAATACACATTTTTATTTATATTTTAGCATGTGGGTTATTAATAATTTTCTACTAAACAAAATTAATTTTTTAGTGCCTAGACCAAATTTGCGAAGTCACCCTGCTTTTTACTGCAGGCTAGCGCGAACAAATATTGTGCTTAGGTCGCCAATTTATAATATATATTTTATATAATATTACACTGAAAGAAAAAAGCGGTCAGCGGTACCCATGGTAATGGTAAAATAGGCGCCAACCAATAGAACCTTAGTTGCTACCATTACAGAATGGTAATGAGTTATTGTTAGGAATTGACATTACAGCAAAGTGATCGTTACCACTACTGCTTTAATTAAATTTTACCACTACATGTTGTTATACAATAACCGTTTTATTAAAACCTTTTACCACTACACACTGTTGAAACTTACGAATACATATTGGTATATGGTACGCTTAGTATATTATTTTAGCTACTTAAAATAGTTTTTAAAACAGGATATAACAGTAAGGCGAACCTTAGCCAAAATCATTGTTTAATTTGTATTATTAATTGCACTTACCCCTATAATTTGGTTTTCTCAACAGCACGGTAAGGTAGTAAATAAATGACAATTATATTAAAAACATTCTTTATTAAAATAAAATTATTTATATGAATTTCCACAAAAATATAAGTTAAATAGGACCTACAAAAATTATGCAATAACTAAATATAATAAAAAACATGGCGGATACTTAAATTATCGTACAAATATCCTTAAATTATCTTACGAATATTTTTAGAGAAATTGAATTATGCAGTAAAAACCCAACCCAACCAATATATAAATAACATGTGTTTGTTAATTTAATTTTTGTTTGTAGTTTTTTTTTTCTTTTAAATTAGTGTTGCGCACACTTCCTAGTGAATGTGAGAAGTAAAAACATTGCCGGTAACATAGGCATTAGGTAGGTATTATTTTAAAACATCGAGAGAAAACGAGTTATAGTTAACCCCCAAAAATCAATATTATAATACCTATAGGTAAAATGCGTTTTACGATCCGTACCGGTTAAAATGGGGAGTAGTTCCACAATATCCCAGTCCTTTTATAACTGTTCCACACCTACTCACAACACGATAAAAACAGTATAGTATGATATCACAAAACTACGCACTATGCAAAGCCGTAAACAGACAACCACTAAATGGCCAAATTTTCCGTTGCTTCTTGATTCGTACCAAATTTCATTAATTATAACATTATTAGTATTAACCACTGTAGTGGTAAACGTCAAAAAATTACTATTTGTAGTGGTAAGCTATTTATTACGAACCAGTTGTAATGGTAAAATTATCCATGACGCAGAATTGTACAATTTTTAACTATTTTGTTATAATCCGTGCTACTTATAGTAGTGGTAAATTTAATTTACAGAGTATACCATTTCGTAGTGGTATGTATCTCTCATTTAATATTAATCCTAATAACATTGTCCCTGTTGTAGTTAGTCAAAGTCACTTTACTACTACAAAAGTAAAATAAAAGTAAGATAATTTTTTTCAGTGTAATGTAATATCCGAGCTAGTTGATATACACAATGATTTCTTAAAATCAATCCTGGTTGTAGCAATTGAATATTTTATGTGTTTTTTTTTCCATTTGATTTTTTTATTTTATTTTGTTACATTTGGGTTTTTGCATGTATTGTACTTATTTTTTTTAGTTAGGCTCTGCCTCAAACTTATTGTAATTGATTTTTAGTTTAGCTTTTACTTAACCTTAATTGTTGTCCTATTATTGGAGTTGTTATTCTGTTGGACAATAAAGATTTATTATTATTATTATTATTATTATTATTATTATTATTATTATTATTATTAATATTATTATTATTATTATTATTATTTTTATTATTATTATTAAGTAAAAACAGCTTTGTTATAAAATACACTGTAGTTTAGCATTTAATATAAAATAAAATTTAAAATAACTCTGTAACCCATGTTGTATAACTGTTGCACGAGATGCCGCCGCTGCAGGCAATGGTATCGCTATTGTTATTTTGCGCGTTACAAACAAGCAGCGTGGTTATCTTTCGTCACGGCATCTACTTGGTATTTGCAGTATTTAATTTTCTTTTTCATTCTAATTAGTTTTATGTGCATTTATTGTGTAACTTGGAAAATAGATTTTTTTATTGTGAAAAATGTCTCCTTCGTAACATGTCTCTTTTGTCACACGGCACTGCTATTGCTACGACATTGAAACTTAAAAATAAGAGACTCTTTAAACAAAACTTTACTGCTTAACATGCCTAAATAATAGTCACAATGGATATGAAAATGTGAAATATTTATTTTTAGACGTAGATGGGGCTAAAAAGTATGACTCGAGGGGTAAACCACTGATTTATTTATTTTATTTATTATTTATTTTTTAATAAATTAAAACTACATATCAACTTGAAATAGCTAACGTAGAGTAATCTATACAATAAAGATAGAATAGATTTATAAATCGGTTAAGGTAAAAATCACAAGGATAATCATACGCAACGAGTCGCTAAGAGAAATTTCTTATTGATAAGGATTTTTTTAAGGCTCGAAAAAGTAAAAATCAGAGCACAACGTCCATATAATGCTGAACGTGTGTATCGCTGATTTTGGAGTGGTTTACCCCTCGTAATGACCCATATCAAGGTGATAAAGATGAAGTTTTTTTCCTTAAATTTGTGAAACCCAGTCAGCGGATGTCAATTAAAATCATACTTAAGTCCTATCTTTTCTGAATATTTTGTTTTTTTATACGCGTTATTATCTTTGTTATTAACAAAGATACACTGTTTTAAAGCCAACTTTTTAGATAAAGTTATCGTATTATTAATTTAAACTGTTGGTAGGTAAAAAGGGCACCCAAGCACCCATCGTTTCTTATTGTTTGCAAATAAAATGTTTTTGGGACCCCTGCTTCGTTGTAAGAAAGTTGAAACGTGTAATTTGTATTTTATTAATTGTTTTCCATATAATATATTGTATTGCATAACTTTGTATAATTGTCAGATTCTGTTTAGGTTTTTGTTCTGTTCTGCACGCAGCATTTAAAGACAGGTGCTTGTATCAGGCGCTAAGTGACTTTTTAAAAACATTAAGTGATGGTTTTGAATGATTTGAAAACATGTCTGAAAGTTTTTTGCATGATACAGAATACAAAGGTATAAGTTCTTGCAAGAGAATCTAAAAGAAGCAAGCAGATGACAGCGCTACATCAGATATAGTTTTGACTTCCAGTAAGAAATTTCGAATGTGCTTTTTTACGTAATAATCGATACTCTGGAGGTAGAAATGAAAATGAGGTTGTATCTGAACAGTTTTTATTTCTATGCAAGCTCAATTTATCCAAAGAGCAATACTCTGAAGGTTCGAAGAACAAAGAATCAAAGTCTTATCCTGTTGACTTGAGTGTAAATTTTATGAAATGGCTTTTTATTTTTGTGTTCCAAAAAAAAATTGTCATTCAAACTCAATCGATATCGCACATTTGACGTTGTTTGACTCATTACCATTTATGAAATAAATGGGTAAACACCCAGTTGTTAGCACTATACCCAGTTATTGGCACTCGGCATCTAAAACCGCTACAAAACGTGACAAATTCCAAATTCTGTGACGCATCACCAGAGCTGTTCCGAGTACAATGAAAAAGTACCCGAGTACTGAGAGAAAGAAATGAATTTAGAATCACTAGTGCAAAACTAAACACTGGCCGGCCTATTGCCTTCATCAAATATTGATATTTCGCTTTATGTTAATTATCAAGGCCGGCTAGTATCATGTTTCACTTTGCCTTAGCTTTATTTTTTAATTATCTTTTTGAGGAATATTGTCACCTTATTTGTACCAAAATATAAACAAAATTACATTTCATACATAAGTAAAAACCTTTTGTTCAATGCTCCTTTTTGTGTCTTTTTATTTATTGATTGAGGCTGTTTTAAGGCTGTCGTGTGAGTCAAGCTAGCTGATGCTGCCTCAGGCAGCATGTCCGTAATTTGACAAGTCTGAGCAGTATTGCCAAATTTTCAACACCCACGCACATATGTGTCCACGCCAACCTCACTGCATAAAAATGTACTCATTGCATACTTTGGATGTACTCGAGGACACGTAAAAGTACTCGAGTACACGGGAAAGTACTCGAGTACACGGGAAAGTACTCGAGTACACGGGAAAGTACTCGAGTACACGGGAAAGTACTCGAGTACACGGGAAAGTACTCGAGTACACGGGAAAGTACTCGAGTACATTTTTGCAATCTTAAATGTATCAAGTACAAGTATAAGTACATTCAAATTAAAGTACTCGGGACTGAGTACCGAGTACACTGAAAGTACTTGGAGTACAGTGTTTGAGTACTTGTACTCGAGTACCGCACAGCTCTGCGCATCACCATAATTTGAGATCTCTCTTCTGCGCCGCCCAAAACATGTTCTGAATTAGACTTAAAAAGCAGGGTTACAAGTGCCAGTGATTTCTTACGATTTTTGTTAAGTTGAGTTGTTTACATAAACATCAATAACTATATTATTTATGTGTATTCTATTCTGTAAAATATTATTAGGTCGGGCAGGAAGACGAAAGTCGTTAGCCATTTGGATTTCCAATAAAGTTTATTATTATTATTATTATTATTATTAGGAATTATATATTCACATTAATGTTTAAGTGAAAACATAACCTTATTTTATATTAAAATAAAAATATTATGAGAGGGCCGACTGGGGTAAAAAAATCAATATAATGCTAGTTATTTGCAACAGTTAAGTGGCAATTATTGGCTAAGGCAAATATTATTATTATTAGTGTCAGTAAAAAATTATTTACACAACGTTGGCAGGAAAACCATATTTAAGGACAATTTGCCTGAAGACAAATGGATGAATTTGTTTTTAAAATGACATCCCAATTTAAGCTTTAGGACAGCAGAGGCAGTAACTTCTTCGAGTGGCCAGGTTTCTGAAAAAGACATAAAGGGCTGGTATCAAAATATTAAAGGCTACCTACCTGAATGAAAAAATGGTATCAGCTGAAGAAGTCTAGACTTCTTCCGGATACATCAAGGATTTATAATGGAGATGAAACTGCATTCTAAGGTAATTGCACTTAAAGGAAGCAAGGATGTTTATGAAGTTGATTCTGATCCAGCTAAACTAAACCTAACGGTCATGTTTTCGTTCAGTGCTAGTGGAGATACCACTCAATCAATGAGTATTTTTCCTTATAAGGGAATGCCTAAAAGTATTGTAGATACGGTTCCAAATGGTTGGGGCATTGGAAACAGCAAAAATGGATGGATGAAAGCAGAACTTTTTTACAAATACATAGGTTATGTCTTTTACAAAAGTCTTGCGAACCAAGGAATTATTTTTCCTGTAATTTTATTCGTTGATGGCCACAAAACACATATGACTCTTCAATTAAGTGAACTTTGCACTTATTTATAAATAATCCTAATAGCTTTGTATTCAAATGCAACACGCATTCTACAGCCTGCAGACGTTGCAGCATTTAGGACAATAAAAAATTATTGGAAAAAAGTTTTATTAGAATGGCGACTACAAAATCCAGGAGAACAGTTACCAATAAGCATTGACAATCACCGCCGCTGATGGTGAAAAAAAGACTTAATTTGTGCGATTTTTGTGATGGGCAGGTTTTGTCAATTACCCCTATTAAGTTCGGGCTCCTTGTCTAGGCTCCATGGCCGATAGATTCCCAAATTTTAACGAGAATTCCAATAAAAATAACTATTACTGTTTGTACATTTACCATTTCCCGTGTAAGAATTTTTAATACTTTGTGATAATATTTTGCAATTATAGTAATAAAAAAATCAAAACATAAAATATTTCCTTAACAATCATATTAAGTTATTTTAAAGTATCAATAATAATTATAGTTAAATGATTAAAATAATAACGGACAATGTTAATGCTGAAAATTACGTCAAAAATTGTTTATTGGGATGTTTTCTTTATTTTCGTATACATGTCGCTTTATAAAAATATTTAACTTAATTAATTTTTTTGATAATAAAAGTTTATAAACTTTCTTAGGCACCCAGTTAATTAAATTCGTAACTAAAATGGCGTTTATCAAACTTGATACATTATATAGGTACTACTTATGTTTCAATGATTTTTCTCACAAAAATCGTAATTAAAGGTAGGTAAGTAAGTAAAGGAAGGTAACCATTAACTAAGAGCAAATTTGTTTTATTTTTTTTAATATTAACAGTATTATTATTATTATTCCGACAAAATTTCGCCTGCGGCACTTACTGGGCGAGGAAACCAACATAAAAATTATTGCCAATTTCTGGTGGTGGTGTTATTTTAAGATTAAAAAGTTAACAACTTTTTACCTAGAGCAAAACATAATTGACAAGTTAAAAAGGATCAATTTTCTTTTTTTAAAATGACCTAAAATTTGGTTGGATTTGATTTATTTCGTATTAAGGTTATGGATGCAAAATTCTAAGTATGTGACATTAGGGTGTCCGTTATTTACCAACTTGGTTTTTTTGTTTGCAGTGCCCCCTAAATTTTTAGTTTATGACCTAAAAAGAATTATAAAAAAAATATTCATTTTAAACCGTGCCACAAAGACGCAAGCAAGTTTTAAATATATTTCTTTTCTCTGAAGCAAGTTAAAATACAGCAAAAAGTGATACATATTTTTATAGGAAATTGAACGCTGTACAAAAAAACTTTCTTATGATTTTTCGATAAATTCACTGGTTTAAAAGTTATTTAGGGTTAAAATTGAACTAATAGTAATTTTTTCGATTTTTTTACTTTGACTGCAAAATTATCATTATTTTTATGAAAATAAACTGTTAATTTTTGAAAATATGTGATTTTATGTATTATTGAAAAAGTAAAAATTATTGAAAAGAGATAAGTAAAAATTATTGACAAGAACTTCCGATAAATTAAAAATTGTTTATTACATTAAAGGAATCTGGTACTAGTTTTACTCAAATTTAGAACGATTACTTTTTTACATAATATTTTTATTTCTGTGAAATTTTATAAAACGCCATTTTAGTTACGAGTTTTATTAGGCACGAGCGAAGCTTATTAAAAACAAGTGTCTAGATAAGTTTATTAAGCGAGTTGCCTACTAAGTATACTTTATCTACGACGAACACAAAAAAGAATTTAAAGCCAATTAGTAATCGTACTAAAATTGAGTAAAAATAATACCATATTCGTTTAACGTAATAAAAAAAATTGAATTTATCGAAATCTCTTGTCAATAATTTTTACTTATCTCTTTTTAATGATTTTTATTTTTTCAATAATACAATAAAATCTCATATTTTCAAAAATAAACAATTAATTTTCATAAAAATATTTATAATTTTGCAGTCAAAGTAAAAAAATTTAAAAAATTACTACAAGTTTAACTTTAACCTTAAATAACTTTTAAATCAGTGAATTTATGAAAAAAACATAGGAAAGCTTTTTTGTACAGCGTTCAATTTCCTATAAAAATGTGTATCACTTTTTGCTGTATTTTAACTTGCTTGAAAAAAATATATAAGTATGTAAAACTTGCCGAAACCCCATGTTATTTAAACGGAAAATTTATCGTCTTTGTGGCACGGTTTAAAATGAATATTTTTTTTATAATTTTTTTTATAATTCTTTTTAGGTCATAAACTAAAAATTTAGGGGGCACTGCAAACAAAAAACCAAGTTGGTAAATAACGGACACCCTAATGTGACATTTTTGACGCCCACCTCTGTTCTCTTCTCGTAGGATTTATTTTCATTGCGAAAGCCGGGAATATGATAAGTCCCGTCATATGTGGTGCAGTATTCTTCGACTGGCAGAGGTCCCTCGCTTTCTCGAATTACTTCTTCCGACGCTTCGCTTTTAAACTGTTTCAAAAGAAACGCTTTCTTACGCCCTGAAAAAAGAAAATTTCGATCGTTGACACATTTGTTTTTGAGAGAAAAAGTGTAGTTTATAGTTAACAAATCTTTATTTGGATAGCATTTATTTTCAATAAATAAAGTAAATTTACTGTTAATCAACCTTTTTAACTATTAATAATCTGCGTAATATTTTTTATTTAGCAGAAACAAATACTTTGTTTGTTGTCCATATGTTTATTAATAATAATGCAAATTTGGGAATAATAAATACCTATTTGCTTAGGCGATGTTTAAAAATGTATTTATTATAAATTTCGAATTTATTTTTAGGTAAGAATTAATATTAACAATGAATAAATATTTATTTCTTGTTAATTGTACTCAAACTTCTGTCAAAACGCACCAAAACAGCATAGACGTTTCTGGAATGGTCTGCGTGGTGTACCGCGTGCGTATGGTGTACCACTTGCCTTGGCAAGTTTAGTGATTCTGCAGAACATGTTCTGTGTACTGTTTAGTTTAGTGATTCTGTTCTTTGAACTGTTATTTCAGTGTTTCAGTATTTCGTTTGAAATCTTTTTGTAATAGCATTAATTTAAATTGTACCTACACAGAGAAAAGGAAATAATAATATTAACTGTTACAAGGTAATAGTTACCCTTTAGTGGATTCGTATTCTGCCAAACCTATATGAACTAACTGTTATAATACTACAAGGTATATAAAGAAGTACTTAATCTTACCTTTCATTTATTAATAGAAAGGTTTTGAAATATTCATAGTTAATAACTATTAAATTTACCTTATTATTTTAAATATTGTATTTACTAACTGTTATATTATTTGGTTTTCTATTAGTATTTTATTATAATAATCACATTTTCTGAGTTATCAGTTATTTTTCCATCAGCTAATAGTTAATCTATGAAAGTAAGTATTATGTTAGCATATGATTATGCAAACAGCATGGTTCACATGCTTAAAAAGAATAAATACGAAACAAATAATACTTATGTACATCCACCATGGTGCTGCAGCATTAAAACAATTTATATAATAATAATTATTAATACTAATATAAACTATTACCTAATTGTTTAGAACACAACAACAAAAAACCTCATGGTTCAAACGCTTGTTACTTCTATCATGGTGGCAAAAACACGATTTCGGCGTATTAATTATGGCATATCTCTTATATACCACAGTTTTTGTAAAAGCAAAAGTAGATATTTATAATAAGTAAGTACAAACCCCAAAGTTCTAATAATTCTTTCGTGTTCTGGTCTCTGTCATTGTATCAACCTCACCGCATGAGTATCCTCACTGACTGAGCGTACATCATGCTTATCAGCTGTTAATTTGTTTCCTCCTGAGCAGGTTAATACAGGGTGTTTCATAATATATGCGCATGACTTCAGGATGTGATAGCTTATCCAAAAAGATGAAAAAAGTCGCTATTAACTTACCCTCTAAAATGCACAATTTTCGAGATACAGGGTGTTGAAATTTTAGAAAAAAAATCGTTTTTTTCGAATATCTCTGGAACCGTTTATCGTATAAAAAACAGAAAAAGTTCGAACCGCCAATGTTTTCTACGGTAACTACACAATAAAGGTACTCTTGGTATAAGCTCTAAAGTTGACCGTTTTCGAGAAAAATCGACTTTTATGTTTAAAAACATGGTCAATTTTTTGAAAAACAAATTTTTTTATTTTAACGTTAGAACAAGTAACAAAACCAAACGATAATGCAGAATTAAAAAAAAATAAAAAATGATTTTTTACACAAATGCTGAAATGTGCCAAATGCGTTACCTTTACGGTTTGGAGAATTTTGCAAAGACAACTTTTGAATCATTTTTAATTTTTTTTTAATTTTACAATTATCGTTTGGTTTTGTTACTTGTTCTAACGTTAAAATAAATTTTGTATAATTGGTAAAAAAATAATTGACCATGTTTTTAAACATAAAAGTCGATTTTTCTCGAAAACGGTCAACTTTAGAGCTTATGACCAAGAGTACCTTTTTTGTATAGAAAACATTGGCGGTTCGAATGGGCTTCTCAAAACCGTACTTTTTTCAGGGGCGTAGAAGTTGAGGAGAAAAACACCCGCTACCCCTTCAAAATCTCCACCAATTATGAGTAAAAAAAATTTTCTTCTGGCACAAAATATAGCTTATTATGAGTAGAAAATGCTTACAAAAGCTGTTTTTTGTACGATAAACGTTTCCGGAGATCATTTTTAATTTTTTTTTAATTTTACAATTATCGTTTGGTTTTGTTACTTGTTCTAACGTTAAAATAAATTTTGTATAATTGGTAAAAAAATAATTGACCATGTTTTTAAACATAAAAGTCGATTTTTCTCGAAAACGGTCAACTTTAGAGCTTATGACCAAGATTACCTTTTTTGTAAAGAAAACATTGGCGGTTCGAATGGGCTTCTCAAAACCGTACTTTTTTCAGGGGCGTAGAAGTTGAGGAGAAAAACACCCGCTACCCCTTCAAAATCTCCACCAATTATGAGTAAAAAAAATTTTCTTCTGGCACAAAATATAGCTTATTATGAGTAGAAAATGCTTACAAAAGCTGTTTTTTGTACGATAAACGTTTCCGGAGATATTCGAAAAAAACGATTTTTTTTCTAAAATTTCAACACCCTGTATCGCGAAAATTGTGCATTTTAGAGGGTAAGTTATTAGCGACTTTTTTTCATCTTTTTGGATGAGCTATCACATCCTGAAGTCCTGCGCATATATTATGAAACACCCTGTATACAGCAATTAGAGACACATATTTGTATAGGAAATTAAACGCTGTACAAAAAAGCTTTCTTAGGATTCACTGGTTTAAAAGTTAGGTAAGGTTAAAGTTGATCTAGTAATATTTTAGATTTTTTACTTTGGCAACAAAATTATCATTATTTTTATGAAAATTAATTGTTTATTTTTCAGTACATCTAATGACGTAGAAATTCTTTTTACAATTATTTTTACGAAAAAAATAAAATTCGTAGTTACGCATACGTTGTCTATAATCGCGAGATAATTCTAGTGTGCTTGCATGACGATTATTTTAATTTTTTTTTGTGCTTTCAACAGGCACCAGGCCCAATTACAGAAGTACACAATGACAAACACAAATAAACAGCCATACCCCTGGTGGGATTCGAACCCACGACCTCTCGGCTTGTAGTCCGCAGTGCTAACTACTACACCACCGAGGGCTAATACATTAATTTAATTATTTTCACCGGTGCACCGCGGTGACTGTTGTTCGACGAACTCTTTTTTTCGGTTAAACATTTCTGTTTGTAGTAAACTGCTTGACTTTACATTGAAATAAAACATCCGATCGATTTTTTTCCGGAAAAAGCTGAGCGTAGATATTAACTGCATCATCAAGATTTCTGCCTGCTTCTCCATAAATCAAAACCATTTCTATTTTTTCTTTCAATGTTAAAAAATTCATTATGAATACCAAATCATCAAATAAAATTTATATTAGTTGTTTCTAAATGATATTTCGTTTTTTACACCGTAGGAAAAAAGTAGCCAATTTTTAGTCTCAATAAGGGGATAAAAAAAATAAGAAACAAAAACAAGAATAAAAAATACACGAGTGTTAAATGTAAAACTGATTAACCTTGATTAAATTAAATAATGTATAAAACTTTAACTTTAGGAAACTTATATTAGTAAAAAAAATCGTACTTTATTAACAAAAAAATCAGATTTAATTTATTTCCAATGGAAAAGTAATATATGACTTTTATATTTTTATTGAAAAATTATTGCAGAATGGTATATACAGAAGATATTATTATCACGGCATCTTTTACAAATTTGAAATGATCCGAATCTTTAATACAAAATAGGGTGTTCCATTGGACATTTTAAAGTTATCCTATGCCCTCCCTATAAGGATGAGAGTATGGGGAATAATTTTGGTATTTACCTCCTCGAATCATTTAATTTTTAATTTAAACATTTTTTCGTTAAATGCCTATCTACTGAGATATTTTCAATTTTCAAGTAAAAAGACTCACCCTGTATATGGTTTTGAATTTTGAGAAGGGTAAAAAAAATTATAAAAATTTATGATTTTTCCCACTTTTTAGGATTTGTTTTTAGGGGTCAGGGCTCAGGTTAAAAATTAATTTAAAAATCTTAATCTTAGGGAATGGCTTCAGAAGTGACAAAAAGTAAAAAAAAAAAACTCGTTTAAATAATTATTTAAAAAATCTGAAACTTTGGAAGTACCTGCAGAAGGGTAAAAAAATAAGAAAAAACTAGTTTTAAAACATAAATATGATTTTTACCACTTTTTTAGAATTTTTTTTTATTGAAGTACCGGAGATTTGTAATTTCAATTTAAATAATAAAACCTACAATTTTTTGTTTTATTATTAGTGTTACAAATGATATTGTATTGTTTTTGTATAAATCTTGGTAGGTGACTGCATTTATTTTTAAATGTATCTGCAGCACACTTTAAGAAACGTTGACCTAGGTCTTAAATTGTCCTTATAGTTTAAGAAATTTATTAACACTAAGCCAATAGCACAATTTATACTGTAAATTGTACAGAAAACAAACAATGTTTTATCCCAATAGAAAAGGTATAACGCTGTTTAAAATTAGACGTCCTCTTACATGAGGTAAAAAAATAAATAGAACTTGCGTTGGTCCACTAAAATAGAAATTTTTCTCTATCCACTATGACTGAAGACAGGTTAAATAACTTGCTGATAAAACACTGGTCGACAAAATTACATGCCACAGGGGTGCTAATTAGCCGTTGTTTTCGAGATATCGCGAAGAAAACGTTTAAAACGTTTTAAACGTTTTTTTAGTTACCTAAAATACCACTCCGTTTTGACTCTATAAAAGTTATAAAAACAAAGTCGCTGAGTTTTTTATTTAAATATCTTCAACGCAGCGATTTTAACCTTCGCACCCTACCTGGGGTTTCTAAGACCCCCGCAAAATTTATTATTATTACTCAAATGTAACAAGTCTCTCCCCATCTAACGACACCATAAACAGCTTTAAAGCTATTAATTAGTATAATTAATTAATTACAATAATTATTATTATTGTTTTTATTATTATTTATATATTTTGCTTATTATTTTGGTTTTATACTTTATTTTGTATTGTGGTTTGTGGAACCCCTGTGTATCCTTTATGTGTAGGATGTGAAGGTTAATTAAATAATTACCGGTACTCTTTTGGCAGAATCCATCAAAAAGTTGGAAGTAAAAAATGTTCGGTTATAATGTGAACAAAATCCGAGACTTAAATTAAAGAAATCAAAGTATGACATGGCATTGTGATAAAGTTATACAGCAAAAATAATCGTGAGGTATTTTATGCCCCTATGTGCGCTATTCATAACACTTTGGTATAATTTTACGATTGTTTGCTGTTAACTGTCGATAGTGTCATAAATAAAGGGACTATAAATTTCAGCGGTTTCTGGTCTTAAAAGCCG